CAGCAGGAACACCTTGCCCTGATTCAGAGACTGTCTCGTTCAGAGAATGTGCTCTATGGAGCACACCTGGAAAACCTTTCTGCTGGGATGATGAGCAAATCTTGTGATAACCTCAGTGTGGAAACCAACAACAGGAGTAGAGAGAAAAGCAATCTTGGGAGGTAAGTTGGTTTTTGTTTTGTTTTTTTTGTTTGATCATGTGTAAGAATACTCAGTATTACACTATCTTATTGCAAACCTCTATAGTAAACTGTGAGGCAGACAATTTTTTTGCTGTCTTTAAAGTGGTCGCACCAAAAAGGCCCCATCAGGCCTAGGGCTCCATGGTGCCAGCAGTAGTGCAAACACAGCAGGAAGCTAACAGTGTAACAGATAAGAACTTGAAAAAGAGCGACATCTAAATTTGTACCAACTTCAGGAATCAATGACTTACTGGGTTATGGAGAAGGATAAAAATAAGGGTGAATAAAAATATAAACATTTATGGCTGTGTATCTTCTTTGGGAATTCAATATGTGAACTGAATGCACAGTGGCAGCTGTTTTTGAGCAGGTCTTAGCAGACTGATTTCTCCATGTCTACAAGTGCTAATCACAGAGAACAGAGTAAGAACTTCTCCCTTTTCATTTGCATTGGTACATTCACCAGTGTAGGTGGTTACTATAGTGGCACACAGTCTCAAGGCCTTTTATGAATTCTAGTGCATTTTAGAATATTAAGAGTTAGATTAGAGCCAAAAAGAATATGAACTACCAGGAAAACTTTCAGTTACGGTTTTGTGTAAGTTAACCACGCTGAGGCTATGCTGTGTTTTCCTGATGCCTGCACTCAGCTCAGAGGAAAACAAAGGGAGAAATCAGTCAAGATGAGAGTGGTCCAACAGTAACTGTTATTTGGAAGCAAATGCTGGCAAGGATAAGTATCTCTCCCCTACAATGAAATTTGGCCTAGAAATCAGAATGATCGTTGAAAGGCTATAACCATGCTCATTCCCAAACTGACTCTTACAGACTAATGACAATGAAGAATGCTAAACAGCACTGCTGATTTGTTGTAATGCTGTCTCCATTTCCTGCCATACAGATCCACATCAGGGCTATCCCAGTCAGAAATGCACATCAATTTGAATGGAAAGCAAAGGAGCTATGACTATCTCTCTATCCATTCAACTCAGAACACAATCAGTGGTGAGTATAATAATCACAAACAGTACCCTTCCATATTTATTGTTTCAAAGGTAGGATACCCAAACATAGTTTATTTTACAGATTAAAAAGATATACTTTTGCACTGCTAGTCTTGAGACCTAGCCCACAGTTTAGCAAGACAAGCTATCTTCTTCCCTTTTACTCCTGCTTCCAATTAGAATCAGTGGTAAGGGACCTCATGCTAAAATTATTCTATCAATGGTGCCTAATACTCTTCAGAGATGTAGTTCAGTACACCCAGGACTCTCACATGAAGCAATATCCCTACATTCAGATGTCATAATTTGGTTTCCAATTCATATTTACAACTCAAGAAATGATGCATAAAACAACACAGGCTCCAGGTCCTTCCTCTGTTATTGAATTTGCATGACACTAATTGGAATGAGAGCTGGACACCTAATTTTCAGGAACCACATTGCATGCACACAGTATGATGATCTATGGAATATGAAGCTAAGATTATTTGGTTAATCCATTTAAAAACTGTTCTTTAAACACATTGTGGCAATTTAATAATGTTAAGTAGTGTCAACACTACAAAAGTCAGCATCACAATCAGCACTGGTTGAATTGCACCTACAGAGCCAAAAAGGCCCACAAGGCTGAAGGGCTGGAGTTTCCAAAGGAAACCATAGGAGATTGTGTCCAAATCACCCTCATGTACAATGGGCCCTACATGCCAAACTCTTTATATAACCTAATCTTGATAAAAACATTCCGGATAAATGAATACTGTCCCAGAAAGGAACATTATGGGAAAAGCTTACACAGCTATTTTACATACACTTCTGTAAAGAATGCAAATTTCCAATTACTTTTTTGACCTTCATGAATTATATTGATTCAGAAGTAATGGTAATGCTTAAAACAAAACAAAAAAACCCCAATATATTTTAATTTTTGAAGCCCTGGGGTTTTTTTACTATATGAATGTACTGTCTCCCTGCATTAATCTGCATTTATTCTAGCTGGTTTGTTTCTGCAGCACCTGGATCACCAGCCACCCAAAAGGAAGTTTTGCTAAGTGGTCTAGAGAGAGAAATTATTTGTGTCAGCCTAAAACGTGACCCTAAGAATGGATTTGGTAAGTAAGGAACGTGAATGTTATGGTCGTTACTGGGACTGACAAATCCTGGTGCTAACACTGATACTTGCTGACTCAGCCTGAGCAAGATTGTAACCTTCTTCACCTCATTTATTCTTCTTATAGAATAAGAATAATCTCTGTGGAGGAGTTAGAATTTCTAAGACTAAAAAGGGCTAAGCACATAAATCAAGATCACAATTTTTTCCAGAGGATTAACTCAGGCTACAGAGGTCAAGGGGATCAAGTGATAAGAGTAGAATGAAAGGGTCAAAGGCCTAGTTTTCTATCTGAAATACAGGCACAGTAATTTTATCTTAGAACTTACACAGGGGGAGATGATGTTCTGCAAACTTTTCAGGTATTGCCTGTGGGAATGCAAAATGAGAACACAAGCTTAACAGGAGTGTTTCCTGACTTTTGATTCTTATTCAGATAACCTTTTTTTTAATGTAATACACTATTGCACTGCATCCTGTTCTTGTGGATGAGTTCAGAGGACTGTCAGGTTTCATAGCTGACCATTAATTAAAATAAACAGCAAATTTCTAAATGATGCAGGTCTGCATGGAATATCCCAAGCTCAACTATTCTACCAGTGAGAAGAATGTATTCTGCACTAGAGAGAATACTCTGAGCTAGGATAGTGAAATAGAACTGCTCAAAACCAGATCTAATTTTCTTAGATATCTCTTACATATCTATTACAAGTTTACATGGCTCATGTCAGGAAACCTTGGCTACATCATCCAGAATGATGTTAGAATCTATCTAATGAGCTTTTATACCATTTTCCTCCTGCAGGTGTTAAATACTAAGGTCCGCATGATTTATGACTTGTAAGAAAGTAGTTGGAATTTTTAAGTCCCAAGCCAGAAAAGTATTCATATTGAGAAATTATATTTAAATAGCCACCAAAGTCACCAGCACACTGTAAGACCTTGACACCAAGTAAATCAGAGCTCCCTAATCTGCAGGCCATATATAATACTTATGCCATTGGAGTAAGAGCCTTTTGTGCTCCTAAGGTTCATCTTTTCTCATACTGCCAGCATCTCTGTATTCTCACTCTATCTCCTTTTTGCAGGTTTTGTAATTATTGGAGGAGAAAACGTAGGAAAATTAGACCTTGGTATCTTTATCGCTTCAATTATTCCTGGGGGACCTGCAGACAGAGCTGGAAATATCAAACCAGGTCACTGTCCTTAGTTTTTAATTAGAACTAAAATCCTTTCACAGTTTAAAGTTAGATACTCTGGATTTATTTCCTTATTTAAATGTGCTTTGTCTTGGGGTTTTTTTGATGTTGTTGTTGCTTTGTTTTTGTTTGCTTGTTTGTTTGTTTTTTTAAGGAGGACGACTCATCTCTGTGAATAATATTAGTCTCGAGGGCGTTTCATTTAATACTGCAGTTAAAATCATACAGAATTCTAGTGATGAAGTGGAGCTCATAATCTCTCAACCCAAAGGTATAAAGGCAAATGTCTTTGCTGGCTATGGAATGCCAATAGTTAACCTAGAACACTGATATCTTTTAGGCACTGGGATGTAGTAGTAGTAGTACTTTCTTGCTACACAGTGTCAGTTACAAAAAACATAGCCAAGCACTGAAAATAGTCAACTTCTAGTAGGTATTATGTGCTCTCTGTTCTACAGTCTGTGAGAAAAAATCTATTATGGGCTGCATTGGTGAATACCAAGGGAATTTTTGCATTTCTTTCTCTGATAGAGTCATAGTCTTCTACAGTGCTGAAGCAAATACATTTCTCTGCACTTACAAAAGCAGCACTCCATTTTACTATGACTGACTCATTTTATAAATCAGATTTCACAACCAGCTGATGTAGGAAGTTACTTTGTCCTCCTATATATTTGCCCTCAAGTTTACTTACTGTTTCCATTCAGCAATGTTTTGGTCTGGTATGGCTTTATAGATATGTATGAAGAAGGAACAAATGAAGAAAAGACTCTGTCAAGGGGAAACAGCACTAGTGGATCTGAGATCTCTTGTACAGACAGTGGGAGAAAAAAGATTCAGGATTGTCATACAGCTCTCCCCAAAGAACAGAACATAACTATAGGTGAACTTGAGAAGACACTTTCCTGGAGTTTAGCACCAAAATTAGGCCCTGTGATTCCAGCTCCTTCAGCTGACAGCCTGGATGTGGAGGTAAATGAGATTTTTATGTTTTTCAGTGGTATTGCACCCAGTACATATCTTACAAACATGCCAGTTATGTTAAGAATAGAAAGTAAGTGAGAAATTTTAAAAATAAGGAAAGGAGAAAGAAAACCTTGGAAGATGCTACTTGTTAATTTACATTGGAAATATTAAAATCATAGACATGTCTTAAATATGTGAAAAAAACCAAGAAAACTTCAAAATAATATCAGGAATATAAATGCTACCACTCCAGGCTTACAGTGACAAAAGGATCAACCCTTTTATATATTCAGAAAACTCTCTTTTTTGTCTTTCTTTTCCCTCCTTTTTAATTAAAATGCTGTAGTCTCATTAGTGTTTATATTTTCGAGACAGGAAACTGATTCTTCACACTTACCATCTCCATCTGAATCTAACTCAAAGGAAATCTATACTGTGGAGCTTGTTAAAGAAGAAGGGACTTTTGGAATCAGTGTGACTGTAAGTGTTATCGTTATTCTTTCTGTGTGTCTGTCAAACTGCTATATGACCAATAAAAACACAGATAAGTGTATTTATGTGAAATAAATATAGAAAATAGGCTGATAACAAAAAATGTTAGCATAGCCAATTGACTGACAGAGAAATCAAAAAGTACTGGCTCTGTTTATTCCACAGTTCTTGCTTGCAGAATTTGTGAAAGAAGTGTGCAGGCATAATGCATGTGGCATTACAAACCCTTTTAATCCTGGCTCAATTCAAGAACAAGCCCTACCACTGAAATTGGAGTTTGGTCAGGGAGAGATACAGCCACAGCCTCTAGAAAATGTAATGACTGGTTTTGCTGCTTCCCTGTAGCTCCTGGAACTCAGAGGCTGTGTCTGTAGAAGCAGATTATGCAGAACCATGGCATGGGCTAACGCAGTGGCCCACAGGCACTCTTTAATTTTTGACAGTCCCCAATATGGCTTTGATCTGTGCCCCAACATGCAGTACAACAGAAGCCATCTTATGGTGGGAGGGGGTTGAAAGACTAGCTGTGTGGACACAAATATCACAGACTTCTTGCCCTGAAGGCCAGAGAAAGGACTCTAGCTAATTTTATTTCCTAATATAACAAAATACAGTTCCTCATATATTTAGAGGACCAGAGAAGGCAGCAGTGAAAATTATCTGCCTTATTTGAATAATATGTCTCTGTCCTGACTACCAAAGTTGAATTTACCCCTCTAAGCTGAGATGTCTACAGTTCTTGCTGAAATAGAAGGGGAAACAACAGCAATTTCATTGTCTGAAGAACAAATGGAGAGCTGCTTTTTTTCTTCTGAATTTGACTAGGGAATGTAGATGGAAAGAACATGATTCTTAAATTAATCTGGAATTGAGCTGCAGGCTCTCAAGTGGATTCACAAGTTCAGGTCCTTGCTTTATATATTGCTTGAAAGGGAGTATATTACAACTAGATGGGACTTGGGAGTAATTTCCTGTTCCTTTTTTTTTCCTCATATATTTAGAGGACCAGAGAAGGCAGCAGTGAAAATTATCTGCCTTATTTGAATAATATGTCTCTGTCCTGACTACCAAAGTTGAATTTACCCCTCTAAGCTGAGATGTCTACAGTTCTTGCTGAAATAGAAGGGGAAACAACAGCAATTTCATTGTCTGAAGAACAAATGGAGAGCTGCTTTTTTTCTTCTGAATTTGACTAGGGAATGTAGATGGAAAGAACATGATTCTTAAATTAATCTGGAATTGAGCTGCAGGCTCTCAAGTGGATTCACAAGTTCAGGTCCTTGCTTTATATATTGCTTGAAAGGGAGTATATTACAACTAGATGGGACTTGGGAGTAATTTCCTCTTCCTTTTTTTTCATATATATATATATATATATATTTTAAAGTAATTTCTGAAGCAGTTGCTTTGCAATGCACGTGTAAGTTGCTTTGATTTTTATCACAGGAAGAACATGTGAAGGCTCCACTCTAATCTGTGGGCATATGTTTCACAGGGTGGAATTAACACTAGTGTGCGTCATGGTGGGATATACGTGAAGTCAATTATTCCCAGGGGACCAGCAGATAAGGACGGACAAATAAAGATAGGTAACATGTCTGGCAAAAAAACACTGGGCTGCAGAACTCAATGTTAGTTTGGAATGCTTCCCACAGGGACGATGAAACATATTTGGGATAGGGGGTTATACAACTGTAAAATGTAATATGCAGTTCCTCATTCCTTAGCCTTCCCCTACATTACACGTAGGTATCCCACTGAAAAATCAGGAGCCTTATACCAACATTGTACAGCTCATCTCTGTGGCTGCACATCAGGCTACTGACTCTGACATCTACTTTCCCTGTTGCTGTGATAACCAAATAATATCACAGCATTTACTTACATGATACCCTGGTATGTTTTAAGTGCTAGCTATAGAATGCTATATGACAAGCACTATTATTTTCATATAAAATAACATAATTTGACACATGTAAGCATGATGATCTATTGCAACATGTGAAATCTCAAGTTTTATACCTATTGAACTTCAGCATCAAACCAACTAGATGCTTTTAAAATATGTTTCCTTGTTTTCTTTTGGCTCAGGTGATCGTCTGCTGGAGGTAGATGGCATCAGCCTTTGTGGCATCACCCACAAACAAGCTGTGGAACACCTCAAGAAATCTGGCCAGGTTTGTACAACAGCAGAGCTCAGTAAGATATCCTGTAGAATAAACTGTATTTAGTGTGAAGCACAGTAGCAAAGCTGTGCCAAAAGAAACTTCTCCCCCTCTCTCATCCAACCTCTTCTCCAAAAAAAGAAAAGTAAAAATACTTAGGGTTCATGGTGTACTGTATAACTGGAACCTATTCATCATTGTTTTAGATTGCCAAGCTGGTTCTAGAAAGGGGAAACTACCGATTGTCAGAGCCATGCCTGACTGCTAATGACAGAAAGGAGGACCAAAGGAAAGTTGTTTCTGTGGCAACATCCTTCACAGATGGTACCAAGGACTACTGCTTTTTAACAGATGGTGAGTGATAAAAAAGGAAGTCAGGGTGACTTCTTACATTGTGCAAGTAAGGAATGAATTAAAATCATTCTATGAAATTTCTGTGGGTTAGAAGCAAAACTGCATGCTGAATAAAAATATAATGTGCAATATTATTGACATAATTAAAAAAAGAAAATCTGAACAAATCTTTCTGATGTGCTTAGAGTAACAGTTGCTAGATATAGCTAAATTTATCCTAGGCATAAATAATGTACCTTTCAGCATTCATGAGATGGGGCAGGCAGGGGACATCCCTGTCAGAACTCTGTAACACTGGCACTGGAAGCAGCTGTGTTGATATTGCCAGTCTGTTACCGAAAGGGTGCACTGCCAGCATAACTGCTGAAGCTGTGTCAGTGATGAAGCTAGGGTGATCTGCTGCCCCAGGGCCAGGACTGGAGACTGCCATAATTTCATTTGTTAAAAGCAAAGGATTCAGACATCACTTTCACTGAATTTAGCCAACAAATAAATGCCGTATCTTTTACTATAAGGCAGTCTCATAAACACTAAGTCTGAACCGTGCTTTCCTATGGGGCAGTTACTCCTCTACATTGTCTCTAGCAGAATGGGGTTCAGATTTAAGTATGGTATTTGGGAAAGGGCTGGTCTCCTGTTCTTGCTTGGAAAGAGCAGTAGCTTAGATTCTAGCTTATGCTGGTTAGTGCAGGACCCAAATTAGTTTCAGACAGCTACTGAATAGTAAGATCTACCCAACACGTACAGAAGAATGTCATAAAACGAGAGCATTTGAACCTTTTTAGGCTGTTTTAGGCTGTTTCCGTTATGGGCATGTACCAGATGACATAAAGTCTGCTAACACATGGTAGAATAGAATCCAGTTCTCCCCATTCTGCCTGTGCAATTTCAAGGGCCCACATGAGTTAAAAAGAACATCAAACCATTATTTTGCCACTAGTATGAGTAGGTCTACCTCTGCAGCACACAGGGAAAAGGTCTGCTGGGGGTATAATTTACATCAGCTCCATAGGGGGTACATATGCCACAGCTCCCACTCTTTTTCTAATCCCTACTTTGAACAGATAATACATTTGAAGTCAAATTGACAAAGAATTCTGGAGGCCTCGGCTTTAGTGTTCTGCAAATGGAAGAAGATGCTTGTGAACACCTTGGAGGAGCTATTGTCAGGATTAAAAGACTGTTTCCAGGGCAGCCAGCTGCAGAGAATGGTGAAATTGAAGTCGGAGACATCATTTTAGCTGTGAATGGGAAACCTGTCCAAGGACTCCTGTATCAGGTACCAGTCACTACTACCACTGCGACTCAGGATAGGTAACATGTTAAGACAAAAGAATGAAACTGCATTTAAACTTAGCACAAGAGGGAAATCAGAATTTGGATATAATTAATCTGATATCAATGTAGGATTATTCTCTAGAATTCTTATGAGGAATTTCCTTCCTAATAGCATTTTTAGATAATTTCTTCAGCTATTTAATTCATAACTTTTTTACTACTTATGAACAAAGTCTATTGTTAGATACACACCAGTTGTTAGTTAATTGGAATCTTTGCTGATGTTATGCATAATTGGAACATTTTTCCCTGTGGTCATTTGTGCTTTGTAATGTCATGCAGCAATGATTATACCATGCTCCAGATTCAAGTATTTGCCAGGTGAGGTAAATAGAGTTTAACTTTCTTCCATGGAATAAAAATTCTATACTCACATGGAGAAATTAAATGGTAAAAAAGGACTACTATACGTGGATTTATTTTTTGGTCATCTTTTCATCTTATGAAAAATCCCAGAGTTTTATGTAGATAGGTAAGATTGGTAACAAATAAATGATTAAATAATGCAATTTTTCCCTCTGATAGGTCATAAATAATAAATAGCTAGGGCAAAACAAAAGGTACTGTAAGTTCTAGACACCTGGGGGGTGCTCTAATTATACTCTTTTTTTAATGCCTTGGGGTCTGTCCTCTCCAGCACTGCCTTGCTCTGTGATGTATAGCCTTTTACTGAGTTTGTGCAGAAGGGCAGACAGGCAGACAGGGTGTTTTGGCCTACAGCTTTTTTTTTTTTTCCCCCTCTAGATTAAGTATTTTAACTCCCTCTATAGTTAAAAGCTGAATGCCAATGAATAGGTGTTATGACAATGAGTGTCCCTTACATTTAGCCAATATGGCAATCTGTAGAGCTATGCTGATATGATTGGCTGAAGATGTCTCTGCCATGTGCAGTTTGAATAAAGTTGTCTGAGAACCCTGTTTTCTTCAAGAATAAAAAAATAAATTAATTTGAACCTATGTTTCTGTTGGTGCAACAAAAGTTTGGAAACAGAACTGATTTTATTTTAGATGTACATTCACATAAAAACTATGAACCAGTCATGACAATCATACAGTAGTGAATTCTGGACCCCAGATAGTGCTGAGAGGCACAAATACTAGGAATCTGGGATTTACAATAGAAGTTGTTGCCATCCCAGTTAGTAAAATGACATGTATTATGGACTGTGTTCATTAAAAATCTAATATTCATTCTTCCTGCTTAGGATGTCCTGCACTTGTTGAGAGGAGCTCCTCCAGAAGTCACACTACTACTTTGTAGACCACCAAAAGGTGTTCTTCCAGAAATAGAGCAGAGTGCCATGGTAAGGGAAAGCTTCTGTCAGTAAACTTGCCTCTGTAAACCCAGAAAAAAACATTATTATATCTCCTATCCAGTCTTGAAAAATACAACCTTCCCTTTTCTCCAAGGCTCTCTATTCCATTTCTTTCCCTTCCTGGCTTCAGCTCAACCTCTAGAGTTCAACTGATCCTTCCTTAGCAACCAAAATAATAGAAATCTGACAGGTGTGAAATTTGTCTTAATTCAACAATTTAATTGCAGCATTGTCATTGGAGTGAGACAGCTCCTACCCAAACAGATCTTCTAGTAATGCTTCTAAAAATGCTCTACTAGATCCTCAGGCAAAAACTGCAGATTTTCTCAACTGCAGCTATTATAACCTGTGGGCTTCAGGTAACTATATTAATCACAAAAGAAAGAGGAAAATACAGAACTTTTCCAATGCAGAAATTTCAAATGCAGTAATGGTTCCAAACTGGTTAGTAAAAAAAAACCCAAAACAACACATAAATTAATAAGAAGAAAAAGAAAAAGATAAAATAAAAAAAATAAAAGAATACACAGTAGAGACTGCAGAGACTAAACCAGTGCCATTAGGTGTGCCAGCATTATTATTCCTGTGACTTGAACAGAACTCATGGACACATACACAACTACTCTTATACTGAACATAAATTTGCATTACTCTTGCCCCATACAGAATGGCCCACTCATGGTTTCTGTCTCACCAGAATCCATGAGCTGTCCATGGCCAGATAGGAATGTCTGTCAGGATCATCTCCAGACAACAAATTGGCTACTGTTGCTCTCCTGCAATGTGTCATTGCCTGATTTCTATCATCAGTCACATGGGTCAGAGCTGAAAGCCACTTCTACACAATTAAGAGAACACAGGCAAGAAGTTGAGGCATGGTATGAAAAGAAATAAAAAAGGGGTGCTTCTGGCAAAGAATTAATAGGGAAAAGTGAAGTTGTATAGTCGTTCCGTGGCTGGAACTCCTGAAGAATGTGGAAGATAAGGATAAAAAACCCCAGTTCTTTAGTGACATTACCTTTCTTCCAGCTATGAATTGATATTTTTGCATTTGTATGCTTTTTGATATTGCCTCTTCAGATTATTGTTTTTAAAGGAAGGAAGATGGGAGATAAAAAAGGAGTTTAATCAATCTTTCTGTTATTTTCATAGACTCCAGCATCCTCTCTAATTAAGGACTTTGTGGCAGAAATGTCAGGCAGTGCAGAAGTAGGAACTAGCATGGATCAGTCTACCAGCGATGGAGGTAGCACCTCTCCAGACCTCGAAGACTGTCTGGATTCTCCAGTGGCAGCAGATTTCAATGAGCCTCCTGAGGAGGACAGCTCAACTTACAAAGAGAAACTTATGACTCCCAGGGAATGTTTCTATAAGCAATTTTCAAAGTTTCATCAAGAAGCTGCCAGTTCTGAACTCTTCCAATCCCTAGAAGAAGAAGTGAAGCAGAACTGCTACTCACCATGTGAATTTGGATGGGCCAGAAGGTAGGGAATACTGATATCTGCCCTGCAGCCTTTCCTTCAGCTTTTACAATTGGAAAGCTAGTTGCTTAGTTTTAAATACAGGGCTATCTGCTTCTAATCAATACTGATTACTGAAGATTTTCTTACCATCTTATTCTGACTATCCTAATCTACTGTCTCTGTTTACTCTCATCAGAATTTTGCGTAAGTCTGCAGGACAGTTGTGTGAGTGCTGCACTACTGTAATAATTTGTGCTGTTCAGTTGAAGCTGGCTGCAGTTTGAAATCAGTGGAAATATTCTTGTTGATTTAAACAGGAAGCAAATACTCTCTCATTTATTATATGATCTTTAATTGAAATTTTGTCAGAGTTGACTTAAATAGGCATAAAAAATTCTTTCATATTGTCCAATATTTTAATTTCAAATTTTTTCAGGGAAAAAAACAACTCAGAAGAAAAACTGTGATCAAGAAGGAAAATAAGAATGTTGTTTTCCAATCTTCAGAAGCCAGTAGAAACCCTTAGTCAGAGGAGTTATATAATAAAATACACTGCAAACAGACTCAGCCTCCTTTTACACTCTTTTGGATATACCAGACACTGGTGCACACAAGATGATTAATTCCATTTTAATAATCTTTCCCAGTGCAAAAGAATATAAAATACCAGAACAGAAAGGACTGGTGAAAATAGAAGTTAAATGTCTCCTTAAGACATTTAACTTACAGTTTTAGTACTTTTATCTAGAAACTATTTTCTATTTTTCCACACAGTCACTTGAAACCCTTTTGTTACTCTTCACATTCATGAAGCACAGAACCAGAGAGTCAGAGACTCCAGTTGCTGGGGGATCACAGCCCTAGCTGACTGCAAGTCAGGTGGGGCCATAACAGCAGCTCATACCTGCAGCTTCTCTCTTGAGAGAAGGAATTCCACTCATATTAATGAGTGAAGCTCCTGTTTACAGACATGCTTCCCAACAGAAATATGTCTATAGCAAACATACTTGCCCTTGGCAAGGTGTAGTTTCAACAAAACTAAGTTTATAATTTAGTTTCAGCTTTTGCATTTTCAAAAGACAACCAGAGCAGTTTAAGGCAGCATGCATTTGAGACAATATTTTACATGTAATCTCAGTTTAAATGATCCTTTCAGCTAAAACCATAAAAAACCCCAACCATAACCCAGCAGAAAATAGGTATTAATCAAGGAATAACTTTTGATTTTTTTTATTATTATTATTATTTTTTTCAGATTGCTAAAAACCTTTCATGCAAATGTAGAACTCTTCTAATAAGAATTTCAAAAGTTTCTGGCTCAAGGTTTCACATTAAAAAATCATTTTGGTCTTCTTCTCATGGCTACCAGTAGGAACATTTAAAAAAGACTTTGGAAGACTCAACCCGTAATCTTTTCCTTTGAAGTCTAGGTGGAGGGGCCTTGAGTCTCCAAAAGAAATTAAAGCATGACAGTAGAGCTCATTTATGGGCCCTCAGGACCAAAACTCATGTTCTTTCCCATGGTCATGCAGGGATGTGCCAGAAGGTATGCTACGATTAAGCCACTGCTGGCTCATTGCCTTGAGCTTGTGTAACTCGGCGAAACACCTTTTATACTCTTTGAAGGTCAGTCAGCACTCCACTAGCACAACAGCTTCTATGACAACCATTTTGACCAATCTCTATTGAACTGTTTCTTCTATCCTGTCTCCAAAAAAAAGGAACAAACGGCATTTCTTGTTGTCCTTAAACATTTAATTATGATAGTCTTCTTCCACAATATTGTAAATATCTGTTGTCTGGCTATTAAAGCACAAACTGTTAGATTCATGCTCAGCCAACAGACTAGATTGTTTCCCTCATTGAGGGCATACAGCATAAACCTTAAGTTTTTCTTATTTTCATAAGTATTTTAAAAATATCATCAAAGGCTACAAGCTATATCCAACCATAATGTCTGTTTTACTATTGTGCTTTATATTTTCCTTCTGACTGTAGACAACTCTTGAAATAGGAGCTTAATACTGGGGACTTTCTGGGATTTCATACAAGACACACAGTTTTAGTTGTGTATGTTTGCTTGGGAGAGGGTAGTCACAGTTCAGTTCTATCAAAGCAGCTGTAACAGATGAAATGACATGGCACCTTTGCTACACAAAGCCTTAATAAAAGCTAGGTCATTTTAGATGTTTTTAAGGTGAATGAGGTTTAGCAATATTTCAATTAACATTGATATGAAGTAAAGACATAATTTTCAAAAAAGTGTTTCAAGTGTTTCTATTAGCTTTCATGGTAAATTTAATGGGAGACAATAGTAGTCTATTACAGCTCATTACTGACAACAGCCAAACCAATGTTAAACACGACACATACAATTACTGTCTTGGCTTGAATGTCAAAAGTGCTCAATATTGTGTCTCCAATATAGTGGAATAAAATCAATAATAATTTTTATTTAAGTAATTGAACAAATCCATTGATTTCTGTAGGACAGCTCATCTCCAAGGCAAGCATAAGAATAAAAGCAATCTTACAAAGAGAAGTCAGGACTTATATTTTTATGGAGAGACAGGAATCATTTTATATTTCATGTTTCTGGCCTGTGCTCTAGTGACCAAGAAAAGACCTGCAGGACCTTGGAATGGGATTGACCTTTCGTTTTTCAAGAAAAATGCAAATATAAAAATTGTAGTAATATTTTAATGACTATACAACTTACCAGATAAGTTAAAGATAATTTAGTTGCATAGGGCAAATGAAATAACTAATAGTGTAGGAATAGTACAACTATTTTTTTCAAAAAGCAAGCAAAGTAGTAATTAATGCTTAAATATATATATATAGAGAGAGAGAGAGAGAGAGAGAGTGCAAGATTTTGCAAAGGCTGTTTTCAAATTCTGGAAGTTTTCTAATCTTTTAACTAGTTTTGCAAAATATTGATTACTTATTTTTTTTAGTAACGCTATAAAACCAGTATGGTTCTGGAGGAATCAGACAGCAGTTTAATACCGTAACTAGAACTTTGGTTAAAATAAGGTCATGAATAAGCAGTAGACTTCAGTGGTCATCTAATGAAGCATATGGAGAAAAACCCCAGCACTGCAATCTTTTTGTTTTCCAGCCATGTATTTAATAAGAGTGTTGATGACCTATCGAACACAAAATGCATGCCTGAAACTCTGTCTCTAACCCCTATTGATGAAGAGTATCTCACTATCAGCTCAACATCTCTGACCTCACTTTCACGGGGAGGAAGCCCTGAGACACTCTCCACAACCATGGCAACCCCACAACCATGTGTTTGTTGTCCTTTCTCATCATCCCTGTCTGCTAGAGAGACACATGATAATGACAATGAATGGGAAGACTTGGAAGAACTAGATGACGAGAAGGAAGAAAAGGAAGATTGCACCAGGGTATGTGATAGACAGCAAATTATTAACAGGTAGAATATGACAAGGGAAAAGAAACAACTTTAACAATGCAACATTTCAGACATTAATTTTAAAACATTATCTATGCTATTTCTGCATGGCTTTTTCTACTTTCCTGAATGTCCACAATCTTCAAATAAAGCAGACTTTCCTCTATGCCCAGTTGTCCAGAATTCTTTACCAGCATTACGAAGTATTCCCAGTGTACAAAAACTTCAGTAGCTTCTAAAACTAATTGGAGTAAGCTACTTGATTTTTTTCTGTTGTTTTCAACCCATGAGGAAAATCACTGTTACAGTGGTACTACTGTAATGTCCTGATAAGAAAGTATGCTTTGTGCTAATTACGATTCAAAATGTAGACATCAGTCCTGCCAAATGCTGAACATCTTCTGTTCCTG